GTTGCTAGGTGACAAGACGTACGCCGGGGTAAGGAGGGGAGGATAGACCGTCCAAATCCACAGCCTCTTTTTTTCCGGTCTTCCCGGTCTACCAAGGACCCGGCCCGCCGAGACCGGGGAGTCTGGGTCCTCCGGAGGACCCGGCCTGTCGTTTTGGACACAGCCTATGTATCCCCTCTGGCCTGGGAACGTCTCGGAGTCCCCCAGGACGAGCTGGAAAGTGTCGCTGGGGAGAGAGGGGTCTCTCTGCTGCTGCCCCATGACCCGATTCCGGATAAGCTGGACGGACGGTCAATTTATATTGTTAGTCTAAATTATTACATTTAAAATTATAACTCTAATTCAAGCAGAATAGCCTATTGTCAACGTAATTATAGAGTGTAATTTATTTTCAACTCAAAATATCTTCAAACTAACGAAATATAAGGTTATTAGTGAAGAAAACCCGTCTGGATAACAGCAGACTGACTGCTCGTAAAATATAYGACAGGTCTGGACCACTCGTGAATTTTGTTCGTATCTGAAAAAAAATTCTTAGAATAAGAAAACATTGGTGAATGCCACAAATTCTCCTAAATCACTCGTACGTACAATTTAAGAACAAATTTGTGCGTACGAACGGTTCTTGCATGAGGCCCATTGCCTCTAAGCACAGTTCATGTCATCAACAAATGCTGGTTAAAGCTCTATCATGCAAAGAAGAATCCATATATCCAGAAACGTCGCCATCTTCTCTGGACCAAAGCTCAGACAAGTTGAAATCTAAAAATAATTTTTGAAAAACCCAAACTCCACTGTAGTAAAGAGGAGAGGACCATTTAACCTGTTACCAGTTCAAAAGCAGGCTTCTCTGATGTTGTAGGGGTGCATGTGTGCCTCTGGCATTGGCAGCTTTTGCATTTAGAAAGCAATCATCGGTGCCGAAAAGTTCAGTCTACTCAAGTTTTAGAACATAAGATCCCATCCAGACATCATAGTTTTCAAGGACCTTCCTAAAGCACCTCTAAAGAACTCAAAACTCCTTAAATGTGCATTTATATTAAACAATATAGAACTAAAAGGATAGAAGATTCCAGGGTTAGGAAGATAAAAATGAGCCATCGGTAGGATTTGTTCATTCTAAACCAGATGTTTCCGTCTGTTTCCATTATCTGAGGAACTCTGAACTCACTGTCGGTTTATTTTCATCATTAATCTTCTAAATGAATTCATTACGAGATTATTTCTCAGCAGAATTGTAACCATACAATATAATTATATGATGTGGAACAAATGTCTGCAATCCAATTAAAGTGCTTTGAGGAAGTTGTAACAAATAATCAAACACGTCTTGTTTAACACAAACAAAGCACGTCTTTATCTCAAATGTAATTAAGAAAATAGTGATAAATGTATAATAATTCAATTATACAGTATCTCACTATCTAGAATGAAAGTTGTTGAGCGAAGCATCATCATTAAATCAAAAGTAGCTGCAGATGTGAATAATATGCAGTCGTTAGGTGCATTTTTCTCAAAGAGCAGCTGGAAGATCTGAAAGAACACATGGCTGCAAGTGGATGGATAATAAAACCCTCAGGACTGCGGTAAAACTACAACCGCAGGATCTTTGTTTATTCTGCATCACCAGTGGATCAAACTGGAGGACAAATCTGTAGATTCAAAGACTGGACTGGGTTCGATGGGTTGATCGAGATAAAAGACATGAAAGGATAGTTCAGCTCTTTTAAAGCGGGGCTCTAACAGAGGTCAATCAAAGAGCTATCTAAGATATTAATTGTTCATAACTCTTCACAGAATCCAATGTCAAAAAATCTGATATAACTCTACAGCACCACAGCCAACTGATCTTTTAAACACAAAAAACAGTTACAGCTCAGTCAGTTGTACATAAATTGAGCTAAAATTTGGCGTCGTAGCTGAAAGATATTCACAACACATACTACAAGCACTACTTATTGTGCAAGATGTTTGCTTAAAACACTAGCAATAACTGTTAGAGACAACCCTATTTGTCTGTTAGAAAAATATCTCATAAACCTATAYATAAATGTYAATGAAACTCACAAAAAATAATCACTGGATTTAACTCTACAGTTATTTAACTTTTGGCATCGAAATGATTCAATATGGCGGCTACAGCTAAATAAATTTAGCCAACACAAAAAAAACAGCAAAACTCGTTCAGTTTTACAGATACTGAGGTAAGATTTGATGTGGTAGTAGCCGAGAGTTGTTCACAGCGCATGCTTTGAGCATGACACCTTAAGATGAAAACATACTCCCTGCGAACTGCCGACGTCGGCACGCGTTGTCGCAGTTTAATGACGAAAATTATGTCACYGGGCTTCGCAGCGTTGTGTCGACAGCCTCTTTTGGCACAACCCCCCGTCAGAACTTTTGACCCCACTCCCGTGTCGACGGTAATGTGTGATTGGTCTGAAGCCAGTGGGAGTCTGTTTGTGCTGCGCTCGGGGGGGACGACTCGCTCCCAGACTAGAAAGCAGAGTTTTATAAGATATAGTCAAACYGTGGAAAACTTATGGCTTGTTTGTTTGTGCTTAATATGCGCTGCTGCACTCCGTAAAAAAAAATAAAAGGGGGGAAAACCCCCCCGACTCGCTCCCAGAGCCGACACCAGAGAGTAGAGTTTTATAAAGATAGTCATACCGTGAAAAACTCTTGGAATCTGACTGATAAAAACTGTGGAGCTAAACCAGAACAGATGTGGACAAATACGTCGGTGAGTGACGTCTTTTTTTTCTGCAATGATTGCCGGCTGTTGCGGGGAGAAATTCCATGCAGTGACGTATGGTTCAGTGGGAGGGGGTTTCCCCGAGCTCGGCGCAGTGACTGAAAAGTCTGTGCGAAAACGACTGCCGATCGACCACGTGACCACGCGTCGACCCGTCGGCGTCAGAGCGAGTATGTTTCGGGCTTAACTGTGTTGTACGACTCGAAAACATTCCTTCAGGAAATGCCAAACAAGAAACCTGAAACCGGCCTTGAAGTTACGTCACTTTTTTTCATCCCACAATTAAAAATTGTGGACACGCAATAAAAACAAAAACTGCAACCTAATATCTCCTTCCCACAGCTCATTAACTTGTGCACACAAGAAATTAATATTTTTCGCACCAGATGGTCTCAGCACCTAATAAGCGGAGCTACTGCTGAGCTTTTATTTTATTAAAATGGCGCATTAAACCATAAAGGTCAACAATCTTGAAAGARCCAGTAAACAACCTGGTGTCATTTATCACAGTTCAACTTCCTCTGCTCCTTCCTTTAAAAACATCAGTGGCCTCGCACTGATCAGGATATCCTCACAGAAACCACCCTCCGTACCGAGTGATTTGTGTCGGAGAGATACGGCAGGAAACTTTCTGACATTTGGAGGTTGACTGGAAATGGGATCACTCACGAGTGAATGGGTCTGGTGTAAGGGCTCGATTAGATACACATGGCGTCCGTCGTCAAACATCCCGCTGGCGGGCGGAGGGAGACGAAAAGAGAGAGAGAGAGAGAGAGAGAGAGAGAGAGAGAGAGAAGCCAAGTCAACGAGGACAGAAGAGTTTTAATCGGAGAGAATTTCATCCGACTCTGCTGCTCACTTACTGCAACCCACTGCAGGTGGATAAGGCCACGTGGGAGTCATCGCTCCCCCTCACCTGGCCGTGGTAGTAACAGTGCTCACCGCCCTGCGGGGAAGAAGACAGCATCAGAATCACACGTTTAAAGCAGCTTGTGTTACAGATGTTTGTTCTGCAGTGGGGGGGCTCGATATGGGCTAGTTAGGACGTGGAGTTATCACGTTGCATCACAGCTCTTGGCACGATTTCAACTAGTCAACCCCCACCCACCACCCCAGGACACTTTCCTCACTATTTATCTTTCTTTCTGCTGCTTCTCTCCCCCTCACCTCCAGTCTCCTACACTTCCATCCATCTCAGCCTGCACTGATACTGCAGAGTGCTTTCCTTTCCCCCCCGTCATGTGACCAGAGTTTTTAGCAGGAGGCTGCAGCGGAGTGAAACCCTGCTGATTCAGCTCCAGTAAGCCCAGCCCAGCTCTGTGCCTGAATCAGCAGCAGCAGGATCCAGCTTTTACCCCTTTCCTTTTGTCCTGTAAAAATCATCATCATCTGTATCTGTCTGTTAGTCTTAGCTGCTGCTGAAATAAAAGACACAAAGCGATTTTCAAAAACAACACTGCTCTGCTTTCTCCCCGTTTTTCTGTTCAGGGTTGTATGGGATGGGAAAAAAAACAGCAAAATCAAACTCTCACATTATAATAAACTGAGCATTACCTTGGACAGAACTGGTTTCCCATCTTCATAGTGGATCTCAACATAATCTGAAGACAGCAGGTCACTGATAAAAACAAACACCTGGTTTAGTTGGAGTGACAGGATGTGATTCAGTTCCAGTAAAAAAAAACAGCCTGTCTGCTTGTAAACTCTGACTCACGTACGGTCGCAAGACTACTAAACCTACAGAAACATTCTCGTCTCAAAAGGTACTGAATGTAATCTAACATTAAGGCAGATTATGAAGCGTGTGCTTGGATGAGCTAAACCAGATTTGGTCAGATGAGCAGTCTGTGATGACATGCGAAGAGCTTCCGCATAAAATTCCCCAAACTGGACCACTGGTGGAGAAACACGAGGAATACAGGAACACAAACGAGTAGCCCCAACTGAGAGGCACGCGTGAGACCTAACATGATAAACKATCGCGAGGCCTCAGCCTCACCTTGAACACAACAGAATCCTCCAGTCTGAGTCAGCATCTCTCACCGTCACACCCGGTCTGTTCGCTCACTWCGAAAAGACAGCAAATTCTGCCAGAAATGGTGCTTTTTTAATGTTTTTTTTTTWAATTWTTWTTWTTTTKTTGTTGTTGTTTCTGGGTAACCTTGAAAAGCAAGAACACCCTCCTCACTGTGGACRTTGTGTGGTTGCAGCGTGTAAAAAAGAAGAAGAAGAAGAAGCGGAGTGACATTGTTTGAGTGATGCTAAGCAGCAAGTGAGCAGGTAGCGAGAGGAAAGTCTGGGAGGTTCTCCTGAGTGTGAGGCTATTTTTAGCTTTACAGATAAAGCAGGACCTAGATGAGTGGGCCATGCCACGGTGTCTCTGTGTTTCTACGGGTGCGTGTGTGTGTGTGTGTGCAGAGCRTGGAGGGATGCAGYGTGGAAACTTGAGCGCCTTGAGGTTTGCGTCTGCTCGAATGTCTGAAAGAGCTCTGACGACACGTGGAAATTACGAGAAGGGAGTCCTGCCCGGAGGTCTCTCGGTCYACAGGGGGACAGAGTGCTTCAAATGCATTAGCGTTAGCCGAGACAGCTCAGGGAGGCAGGCTCTGGAAACTACAGGAGGTTCACATGTGTGRTGCCAGATCAGATGAAGTCCTGCAGCGGCACACAAAGCTGCCCTGCTGCTCACAGGGAGCAACATGGAGGGGATCATTCAAGTGTGGTTCTGTGAGGTTAACTAACATCTTACCTGCTGTAGATAACTCTGTGAACAATCTCAGTTTGTGTGAATGTTCARTAAACATTCACACTATTGAGATCCACTTCTCTTCCGTATATTTTTCGGAACGTTTTTTACAATTCCTACATTAAAATGTTCAGCTCATTCAGGAAACTTCTTTTGAGATCTTTAGCTTTTTTCTGCCATTTTTCACATTTAAAATGAACAGACCTGTCAAACACTGTAAAATGTTTATACATTTTTACTGAGCTTTTCACTTTTTGCACTTCTTCTACTTTTTAAATTGTTTTTGTGCCAATTTTAGCATCCCTCGGCTCCTTTTTTGCTATTTTCAGCTTTTCTTGCTTTATCAGCTATTTTCCGACACCTTTCAGCTCCTTTCTATTTTTAGCCTTATTTTTCAACTTCATTTTGATAATTTCAACTTTGTATGTTCCTTTAATTTCATTCTGCTGATCCAGCAAAAGTCAGCTGTTCAAATTGAACTCACATTAAACATTTAGCTATTAAGCCTTTTCAGCTTGACTTGAGCTACTTAAGCAACTTTCAGCAATTTTTTTCAGCAATAAGCATTCAAAATGCCATTTCTCTAGTTCTGACTGTATTTCCAATCAAGAGCAAAGTGGATTGTTGCCACTTTCCAAACTGAGGTTGTTCAAAAAGCTATCTACCACAGGTAAGATATTAACTGTTCATTAGCTTTCCACAGAACAGAACTTCAAAGCAACCTGAATTATCCTTTTAGAAATGCTTTAAAGCTAGGTCAGCACAGCAGTGTTCTACTTCAGCTGACCTTTAAACCACAATATTTGAAAAATACTATTTATCTGTATTTACTGACTTTTAATCTCAGTTGCAGTAAGAGGTGAGCAGATAAAGAAGCTGCAGCTTGCAGACGTCTCTATATTTAGCTCAGATCTGTTGCAACCCTAAGCAGAATTGAAATCGCTGTTCTCACCATAAAAAAAAACAACAAAAAATAGAAAAAAACCGGCATCTTGCTGATAACTTACACACAAACAGCTGGGAATCAAGGTCACGAGCTGTTTTGCTGTTCTCACTGAATGTGTAACTATTTACAGAGGAACATTTGTTCAACGGGATGTAACGTGTGGTCTACTCTTCTTCTGTTAGACTGAACGAGCAGAGAACGTCCTCCACAAGGCGTGACCTCCAAAAAAAAAAAAAACCCATCTCAAATAAAACATTTCAGGAAAAATGGAAAGTTGACTGGTTACTTCATTAGAATGTGTAACAGAAGCTTTAAAATGTGATATTTTAGAATAAAACAAGGTTTAAATTCCTACTGAATCATGTGAAAGCATGTTGACAGGAACAGCAGACCACAGAGCTGTTTACATGTCTCCATGTCGTGGAGAAGCAAAATCTGCTTGCAGCCCGAGCTCGAGTTAAACTTTCCCKCTTTCCATTATCTTCAACTTTGATTAAAGGGGGCTTGTTATGCAAAATTCACTTTTTAAAGTTTTTTTTACTCAACTTTGGGTATATACTTCTTTAAAAAAACAGTCCTAGGACCAAAAAATGCACCCAGGGGCATATTTACTGTAAATAAATGTATTTTTAATGTATATTAACGACAAGTTTTATACTTCTTACATTTTGTGATGTCACAAGCTGTACAACAACCCACCAGAACCTGCGTTCAGCCCCTTACCGAGCAACCCCAGGGTGAGACTCCACCTCCTCAGTATAAAAAGCCGTCACAGTTGTTGTTGTGCAATGTGCAGCTCATTTCACAACAAGCCTCCAATAGGGCAATGAGTAGAGTGTTGGACCAGAGAGGGGAGACTAGGGTTTGAGATCGGCACGGACACATACAATTTAATTATTTATTTTCATTTGTTATGAACACGTTTTCTCATGTACCTCTATTGTTTAGCTTATTAAAGCCTTGTTAAAGCCTATTTGTTCGAGTTTCTGAAGTATTTTGACCGCTGCTGCTCCCTGCTCTGGTAACAGCATGCAGAGTGAACGCAGAGCAGAGGAGGGGGAGGAAAAAAAGAAGAAGCTGCGACCACGACTCTGCCTCTGGGTCTCATATGGTTGTASAACGGAGCTTCTGCTATTATTAGCCATGCTAACGTAAACGCTGGCTTTGGAGGGCGGAGTTAATGTCAACAGATTTTTGGAGGGCGTTACCAACAGAGCTCATTAACATAAACAGCTCGAGCAGGCAGAACTAGAAAATGGGAAATTTTATTATCTGAGAATTATTTTGTTCATTAAATTGAATGAACATGGTCTGGATAGCCCACAGACATACCATAAAAATTTCTAGGATCCATAATTGGTCTCCTTTAAAATAATCACTGAACTGACATATAAACACACACCATCGTTTGCTGATGGAAATCAATAATCTTGTCTCTGTTCCTTCAGCTATGAATCACTCAGTTATCCTGAAATCTTTCTGCAATGCCTAAAGCCAAACTTCTTACTCTGCCACAAAAATAACCACATTTTAGGTTTCACGCTGAACTTTAACTTTTCCTACATATTGCAGTGCTGAACGACACTGAAACATTCTTACATCCTTTTAAAGAAAAGCATTGTGACTGCTGTGGTCTTTTACTGGAAAAGGATGATCTTCAATACTGACTTTCAGCAGATTTAAAATACTGACTTGCAGCTTTCAATGTGTCCTTAACAGCAGAACCTATTCTGAATAATTAAAGAGCTTTTTTGTGTCTCAGCTGATGTGTTTCCTTTAAATGAAGCTCCGGCATCTTTGCCAAAGACATCGAGAACGTTCATATCTGCTATTAATAGTCCGGATGTGGTTTTCCAACAATGAGTTTATTTGGTTAACTTGAGTCAACAATGAAAAGAAGATGATCATGTAAATGTGTGTGTCTGTGTTGCTGTAAGCAAAATATCTCATAAATGACTGGATGAATCTTAATAAAGCTCTCAGAAAGTAATCCTTGGATGTTAATCCACAACCGATGGAGTCAAGATGGCTGCCACAGCTAATAAAACACAAAACATGGCTAAAACTCAGCTCTGAGCTAAAGGTTGATGTGGTAGTAGCTGAGAACGGTCCYCATTACACACTTTGACTCAGGCCCAGCCCTGAGTCCTAGGCAAGGATTCGCCCCTTGTGCAATTTTTTAAATCTCACTGGTAGGGGTGCAACAATACATGTACCCATATCGAACCGTATCAAACAGTRCTGTATCGAACAATACAGATTTTAAAATTTTACTTTATCAATTTGTCTTCTGAAGATGCTGTGTTAAAGGATCAGTGGATCTGTGTTCGACTACTCCACCTAGGCTGCATTTTTGAGCGCAGATCCACTGAGAAACTTGCTGTTTCAGCAACATTTAATTTAAAAACTGTACTTTTGAGGTTAAACAAATGTTCATAATTAATATAAATAAATTACAAGTTAAAAGGGGCATGGAAATTTCTCTTTTTTGTATCGATAAAAATATCGAACCGTGAGACTAAAGTATCGAACCGAACCGTGAATTTCCTGTATCGTTGCACCCCTACTCACTGGATATTTACACACATACAAACTTACTTTTCATCTTAAGAAACAAAGTTGTCCAATTTAAAAAGTTAAGAATACAAACTGATTTGAAACAGAATACCAGAAGTCTGCCTCGTACCTGCCAACCTCTGCTGACAGCAAAGAGGAACACCTGGTCATGTTAACGCGCAGCTGTGGAGTGAAGCAGGTCTAGGGGGGTCCAGGGGTATGCTCCCTCTGACAACTTTGTAAAAAATCTACTCAAACTAAACAATCAGGGCTGAGAAACCCACAGAACAAGTTACCTTTAATAAACCAGAGTAGCCAACAACTATTCTACAGAGTAAATCAACTATAATCTGATAAAAGGTTATGATTTCTTTCTTTAGTACCCCATTTGTTGTGCCCTTGGATAGATGGCGCCCTCAGCATTTGCCTATATTGCCCACAAGTTCTCACCACCTAACTGTCACAAACTGCTGGACCACAGGTACCACCCATATTGTTTTTTTATGAACACATTTTGAATTTAGATATGAAATATTATCTTTAACAGTGTTAGAAGCRTTTGCAAAACTTAGCGGCAGCTAACCCGGATGTAGTCATCATCCTGCCTGTGACAAACATCAACCAATGGCAACTGTTAGCCAAAGCTAGCCGCTGCTAATGCCGTTGAAGTAATATTTAAAATCTAAATTCAAAATGTGCTCATAAAAACAATATGTATGGTACCTGCAGTTTGAAGTGCAGCTCAGACACCAGCCATAAAACTAAAAATTCAATGTCTTGTAGCTTTAGCTGCACTGGAGTGCTAGCGGTTGCTTTCATCTCATAACATGAGCCGAGCACCAACAGCAGAAGCTGCGTTCCATTGTAAAACACAAATGTGAACTTTAACATTTTGTGACCCATCATATCAAAATGAGGATTAAGTCAAATTTGGTCAAAATGACCTAATTACATTTTCAGATTATTGGCTTTAAAAGGTACATTTTGACACCTGGATCATTCTGATATCATAATTAAATCCATATATGACTTAATTTGTCTTGTTGGTTACAATAATACATAAATATTTGGTCTGAATCCTAATTTTATGTCCTTTTAATGAAGAAACTTCACATTATATTTGAATATTGAGATTTCCCAGCTGAAAAGAAACAAAACGTTGCTAGCTCACAGGGAAAATCTCAACATTTTAGTCAAAACACTATATTTGCCTATTTCTCCATATATAACTTTTGGACTTAATCCTCGTTTCGATGTGATGGGTCACATTTAAGGTTTAACTTTTACATTTAGGATATATTTTTAACATTTAAATTTAACATGTAGTAAAACAAAATAGCTATGTGTAAGAACAGTGAGCTGAATAATAATAAAACATTAGTGGACAAAAATTTTAACACTCAAAAAAAAAAGAGCTAAAAATGAACAAAATGCTAGTGAATTTTTAAAAAAAATTTATTTCACACTTGGCGCCCCTTATGAGCCACGGGCCGCCCCTGCTTTGAGTGCTATGAGACTGCAAAAGATCTTTTTGAAATCTTTGACCTGAAACAACAGTTCTCATTATTGAGAATGAAGTGCTCATTTTATTTAATAGAAATGCTTTCTAAGCAGATGAGATAAGTAAAGTGTTATCTTGTGTTCAGATGATGAAGATAAATGTCTCAGTATGTTCTCCCTCGGCTTCCATACTCTGCCAGGCCTAGTTTTATAACATCCATCACACAACAACATGAGTTTTCACACAATGAGCAAAGAACCACAGATTTGTGTTAAACAAGAAAAAGAGCACTAACGCTTTTAAGTTAGCTGAGACGAAGACGACTCACTTGTTTAGTTTCAGATCCAGAACAAACATGGAGCCAAACGCCTCCAACTGGAAACTGACTTGGGCGAGGTGGACCGGCTGTGTGGGGGAGATAAAAGAATCCAGTTTTAACATCGACCCACAGAGAGACTGTACTGTAAACTGGTGGGGGAAAAAATCATATCTTTAGAGAATCACACAAGACATGTCTGTTGAAGTGTTTTTATTCCAAGTCTACAAGTTTACAATCCAAGCAACAAAAAAGAAAAAAAAGTTTCAACTTTTGAAGAGCTTACCTGGTCCGAGGTGGCTTGGTTCTTGGCCCGAGTGCTGAGGTCATGGTAGGTGCTCTCCGAGTCCTYGTTCAGGTAGTAGATGAGGCGTGAGGGGTAGGTGATGGCGTGCTCCTCTGCATGCTGGGTTGTGTTGCCTGGGGCTGGTGCTGCAGTCGCCTGTTGCTCCAGCACTGCTTGCTCTGCGTCCCTCTCAACCTTGTCCTCGACTCCTCGTGAAGCTGCAAAGACATTTTTCCCACCGACAAATAAGCCGCTCGGCTCGACCCGTGCATGAAGGGTGTCTGTGCGTTTCTTGACCACAGAGGACAGGAAGCACTGCTCCTTGTGACTGAGCTCAGTTTCATGTTAAACATGACAATCAGGGTGAGTTTGAATGCAGAATTTCAACATTTATCTGCTTCTGATGGGCCTTTTTATTGGCAGAAACACAGCTAATTTAACATATTAATCCTAACAGACTGAAATAAACCTCAAAACAGTCCTAGTAGGCTAACTGTTAATAAATGTTAATTCTAAGGTGGCAAATACTTAATAATTACCCCTGTGTAGCTTATCTGAACAAAAGGTGCTGTAGTCATGCACCATCACTTGGAGACGCCGCATATAAACAGGTGTAATCCCTGAGATTATAAACCTGGACATTTGAGCTCATCTTGCACCATTAGGACACAGATTTATTCAAGCGGAGAGCATGAAAGGCGAGAAAAGCTCGAGAAGAAATGGAGGAAAAAAAGAAAAGAAAAAGAAAACAGCACGTACCGGATGAGGCGAGTGATGGATGGAGCCCAGGCGAGAGGACGCTGACGAGCAAAGTGGGCAGAAATATCAAACGCATGATTCATATTTGATAGCTGAGATATCCAGATGTCCTCACAACGACAACAACAACGCGGTTAGGGATGGCTCGCGGCCCATCGTGGCGCGGGAGGTGCCGTGTTCGGAGGTGATGCTGACGGAGGGTGTTGGGTAGGGAGAGGAAAGGGAAGGGAGCTTCCTCTACGGATCCATCCAGGAGACGCGCCGGGCTCCGATGCTGCAGTGTAGTGTGGCTCAGGAGGAGGGGGAGGAAGAGGAGGAGAGAGGGGGACCAGAAGAAGGCGGTGGTCAGGCTGGAGACGGCTGACTCCTCCTCACAGACAGACACAAACTGATACCAGTCACTCACCAGTAAACATCCTGTAGAACAAAAACCTGACTGATGAAAATAAATACTAAGATAGTAGACTTATTAGTCTTACACATTATTTAATGATCAAAAGAAAATCACCGTGAAATAATAAGAGAAACTGAAAACATCTTGGCCAGTTTGACGTGTATCTACAAATTATGAACCATCATTATCTTACCTGTTATAGATAACTCCTTGAATCATCTCACTTTACAGAAAAACAATTTAATTCTGCATTTTGTGGCCGGCGAGAGCTTCACGTATGTATTAATGTGTTTAATTAAGTGTATGCTGCTTTAAAGTGAGCATTAACTATAAATTACACCTTGATTATTAGGAATGTCCCAATCGGTACTGGTGGCAGATATGGACWTTTTTTAATCGGATTTAGTCATGTGATCGGGCCGATCCAGTTTTCACGACAGTTTTCAGCATCACCATGCTTCACAATTGCCGTTAAGAAGTCAAGACGCACACAAGTATGCAACCATGTCCACAGTGTGGGAACACTTTTCAGTGGAAAACAATGATGCTGAAACTGCATCTTGCAAAATCTAAAAACTGCATGTTTCTTGTGGTGGGAACAGCAGGGTTCGCTTTAATACTACCAACTTGGAAAGAAATAAAGAAATAAAGCTATCGGATCGGTATCAGAAAGACTAATCATTAAAAAAATTGGATTGTATTGGGAGCAAAAAATATGGATCGGGACATCCCCATTGATTATCTTACTGCTACAGGTGGAGGTGCATAGGGTTCGAAAGTAGCCGGTAGCCGGCATAGTTTGCCTACTTTTGCTGCAACCCAGTTGTACTAGGAGTGGGAGTTTCCCACTTATAAGTTGTAAGCTTAAACTGGAATGCCTCTTGAGTGGGAGTTCCCTGTCAGAAAGGGAGGGATTCAGAATTTAAGATGGCGGCTGCTCACTACAACTCAACAGTGGGTAAATACATTTAAAAAACATCTTTTACTTTCACTTTTAATACAATTTTTTATTTATTTTATGTTTAGTTAGTTGTAATGTATTACTTTTAAGGGTTCATAAGACGACGTGTTAAAGCTRCAGTTGGTAACTTTTCTTAAAAATGCATTTTTTTACATATATTTAAACTGTCACCATATGTCATTACAGACGGATATGAGACAGATAATCTGTGAAAAAATGAAGCTCCTCTGGCTCCTCCCAGTGGTCCTACAGCCATTTGCAGAATTACACAGCTCCAAGTCAGAAACAGCCAATCAGAGAAAAGAGAGTTGTCTTATCAGTGTCAGTCACACATAAACTGCCCCCTCCCTTCCCCTCAGACTGCCCGAGCCATCGTTCAAGGCCAAGATTATGTTCATCGTGTTCATGGCAGGCTCGCTGTAGAGAGGAGGGGGGCTGTGGAAGCAGGGCAGATGTACAGCAGATAGAAAGGAGGAGGGACCTGTGAGGTGTTTGTTCAAACCCAAATTTTCTTTTACATAATAAGTCAAGGTATTATTACTAATCTTTTCATGTCTTTGCAAAAGACGGGTCCATTACTTAACAAAATGTGTTTTGTAAACTACTCAAAGCAAGTTTTTGCTCTACTAACGGCTCTGAGCTGAGACAACTCACCTTTACATGTTTTTACTGGTTTTGGGAGGGGCTTGTCAGTGACCTGACCGTTGAGCCAGTAGGTGGCAGTAATGCACCTTTAAGTTGTTTGCCAACATGAAGGAGAAGAAGAAGTAAACTAGCAGAACTAAATGCATGTTTCGTCTAACTGTGTTGGCTGCATGGTTGCTGACTGCAGTGTTTCTGTTGCATTACAATGATTCCTGGCCATGAATTTGTTTAGTAGTTCAGCTGTGTTAGTTTATTTTTTTCTAACCGCCTCTAGGGCTGCCTCGATTAATCGACGACTAATCGATTATTAAAATAATCGATGACTAATTTAATAATCAATTAATCGTTTTCTTTTTTTCTTTTGTTCTTTACTTTTTCTCTCCAAACTGCTTTGACACCTTCCACTGCCACATCTGCCTTTCTGTCCTTGACACACATGCACAGTAGTGGTAACTGGGGTAGGCCGTGGACGTCACAAGACATTATACAGACARGCTCTGGTATCATGGCTACCCAGCAACGGAGCTCAAAAGTGTGGGATCATTTTAAGAAAATGAAAGAGAAACCTGTGCAATTCAGTATCTGCAGAGCAGAACTTGCCTTCCACAGCAATTATTTTTAGTTAGCTTATAGCTAAAATCTAACCATGGTTGTATAATAGCAGCTGCATTCTGGTGTGATAAGCTGTATGTTTTATATTCAATTAACATGTGATCTGATTAGTCGACTAATCGAATAAATAATCGGTGATTAATCGATTATAAAAATAATCGTTTGTGGCAGTCCTAACCGCCTCATCTGATTGGTGCTTTCACATTGTGAAATCTTTGCTCAAATTTTGCATGTTTAAAATGTTACATTTGCATATAGGAAACAAATTGATTGACTATAATTTACATTTCATAATTTGTATCAACACTAAAAGTAAATACGAGTAAATGTGAGTAACAATTACTGATAAACGTGAATAATGATTACTGATAAACATGAGTAATGATTACTGATTTACAGAGAACTCTGTGGTATATGTGCAAATACAATCAGCAGCAGCAGCTAGCTGTAGTTTTATTTTTAATTTGCAAATGCTTTGACAAAATGCATTTACTGTAGTTATCAAAAATATTTCTGTACAAATGAAATAATTTCTACTGCAGTGTCCTGTCTGCTTTAATACAGGGCTGACCTGAAGGTAACGACAATTCAAGGTGTTCATTTTGTTCACTGTATTGACAAAACTATAGACATTTCAAACTGTAAATAAGATTTACCACATTTTTAGAAAATTAAACTTTATTCTTACTATATGCATGCATGTATGTATACATATTCAATTATGTCACTGAGTGCAAACATTTTTGGATGTTTTCTTTGGTTTTTTTTTTTTTTTTTTATTGATGAAAAAATCGTTTTATGCAGTTTTCAACAGTTTTGTTACCTTTATAAAATCCTGTCTGGACATCAAAATAAAAAAAAAGCTAATACATCGTTAATTAAATAATTTAAAAAATACTTCAACCAGTAGAGACTGACTTTTGGTTAATGTTACAAATGTCTTAGCTCTTGAAGGTGGCTTCAGCTACTAATAATATTATTTTACCCTAAATGCCTTAAATCTCTTTGAAAAGAATGTCACTTAATAAAAAAGGAGAAGCCTGAGTTCCTAATAACCTCTGGAATGTCACGTCCTTCTCCTGGTTTCCTGTCTCTCCACATGCTGACAGTGAGTCAGGCAGAACTGGAAAGTGAGGCTGGGGAAGCAAAACAGAAGCAAAGACACATTTATCCAACTCTTTGAAGTTTAGTTTGAACTCTTTGTTCTTGCAAACAACACAAAGATATGTATAACACACACACACACACACACACACACACACACACACACACACACACACACACACACACACACACACACAC